TTGAGAACAATAACTTGGTTCTACATGCACTTGTCCTTTCCTTTTAAAGACCCATAAAAAGGACCCAAAAAACTAATTTTAGCCTGCTTAAACTTGGAATAAAATAATTTAAATAAACTATTTTAAATAACTGTTCCAGACTTGATGAATTCTACTTTGAAAGTCCATATACTCTTGACCTATACGCAGACAGAACTGCATTGTACACAACCACAGGGTTCTTTTGCAAGAGAGGATTTGAGTCTCTTGAAGATTATTAAACCCTCATATGGAGTTTGATGATGATGATGATGATTAACTTCATGTTAAATTTTATCTCATAGTTCAAATTTGGCATTTAAAAATAATAGAGTTTGCTAATGGACAAGACATAACTTATTATATCATTATATTTGTAATTACACATACCAGTATATAATATTATTTTTAAAAGAAGGAAAACTCTATTTAATTATTCATAAGTCACTCTTTTTTTTATGTGCTTTTATCAGTTCCACCAGTAATCCAACAATGAATTGGTTGTAATATATTTTAGTTGTCAATGGTTTGTTGAAAAATTGTGAGTTACAAGTTGTCAAAACATGCCTAATTCAATCTTTGAAATAATCTTAATTTAGAAAATATTTCTTACTGTTTCAAATCACTGATTTACCACATTCTGAGTGCTTTTGTTCATTTTAATTAATTTTAAAACAAAATTATTCAGTTGTCTTAAAGATGACTAAAAGCATTTAAAACAGAAAGAGGTTTAAACTGAATAATAAAGGCAGCTTTAATTAAATAATAATCTTAATGTTATATTTTTAAGGCACAAAGTAAGAAGATGAAAAAAAAAGTGTTTATGTTGATCTACCAGTAATGTAAAGCTGATGTTTTCATGTTATTTCAAATTAGACAAGATTTTGTATCAAATTTCCAGATTTTGTGTATTTTATTCAAGTTGTAATTTCTTAACTTGATACATTTTCAGAATATACTGCATCTATAATGATATAAAGAGCAAGGGCTACTAGCTTTCAGAAAATTAATTATGTTAAATAAATATGTTACATACCTATTGCTTCAGTTCTCAAATATTCCTTAAAAAGGGAAGAAATCTGATTTTTTTTCAACCAAATACTCTGCAATTCTTTTTGTAAGCACATGTACATTTGATGGGCATGATTGTTGTAACATTTTTCTCATGTCATGTCATGGACCTTTTTTTTTGTCACAGAAAAGTAGTGAACAAAATGATGTACATTGGTTTGGAGAATTTCAGCTCTTCTGACATAGGAAAGTTGAGAAGACTCACAACAGTGGAGATGTTTTTAAATGTCTTCTTCCACATGTTTAAGACTAAGACTGCTTTATTGATCCTTACAGAAATTTTTTGTGATTACAAGGTCTTTTCTCATATAAAGACAACACAACAGAAAAATATATATAAATACAACAGACATAACATAAAGAGTTCATTCAGCGACTACACACAGGTATCTTGGTGCTTTTCGTGTTCCCTGATCAATGAGTGGCGGTGATAGAGTCTGACAGAGTGAGGTACGAACGAGTTTTTGTACTGCTCCGTTCTTGTTTTGATTGATAGTTCTGATGGAGTGGGTGGCCGTTGTCTTCCAAGATTTTTTCGATTTTTCTTAGGCACTTTTGTTCAAAAAGTTCCTTTAAATGTGGTAATGTTGTGAGTGTAATTTTTTATGCTTTTTTTATTATGTTTTCAAGACGTCACAACAGTTTAGATGAGGCGTTGCCTTGCCAACAAGTTATTCCGTATGTTAGCAGATTTTGTATAGTCGTGCCGTAAAAAGTCTCAAGGATCTTCTTGTTTAGTTTAAAGCTATTGAGTTTGTATAGAAAAAAGAGTCGCTGGGCTGTTTTCTTAGTCAGAGTTCCAATGTGGTCTTCCCATGAAAGCTTGTTGTTGATGATAACGCCTAGATATTTACCGGTATATGCCTTTGCTTGTTCTATAGATGTAGTGTTTATTTGCAGTTCACGTATAGTTTTTTTTTTCTTTCTAAAATCTATAAGTTCTTTAGTTTTTGTGACATTCAGTTCTAGAAAGTTGTTGGTGCACCAGTTTGTAAACTCTTCTATCGAGCTTCGGTACTGATTTTTGTCTCCTGAAAAAAGACTGACTATGGCACTATCATCAGCGAATTTAATGAGTTTAACTGAGTCATAGATGCTTCTTATGTCATTAGTGTAAAGAGTGTACAGTACAGGAGAAAGTACACAACCTTGTGGAGCACCCGTACATAGTACTCGAGTTGACGATTTAGTGTTGTTGACTTTAACATACTGGGGGCGTTGGGTTAGATAGTTTAGAACCCATGCTTGTACGTAAGGGCTTACATTTAAGTTACTCAGTTTGTTTATCATTAGATGTGGCTCTATGGTATTGAAAGCCAAGGCCAAGGAGAAATCTACAAAGAGGACTCGTGCATATGTTTTGGGTATATCAAGATGCTTATAAAGCTGGTCCAAAAGCAATAGAATGGCATCCTCAGTTCCTCTAGCTGCTTTATATGCAAATTGGTGAGGGTCTAGGCTGTTATTTACTTTTGCTACAAGTTGTTTAAGCATATATTTTTCAAAACATTTCATAACAATAGGTGTTAGAACTACTGGGCGGAAGTCATTTAAGCTATCTATTTTTGGTTTCTTTGGCACTGGTATGATCTCTGAAGTTTTCCAGATGTGTGAAATTACGCACGTTTGCAACGAGTGACAGAAGATAAAAGAGATTTGCTCCAGACATAGCTTGATCAGCTTGCCACTAATTTTGTCTGGTCCAGAAGCTTTTGTTACATCTACTCTTTTCAATAACAAGGTCACTTCATCTTCAGTTAAAAAATTGACGTAGGGCTCTTGTTTTCCTTTGGACAGAGTGTTGAAAACTTCTTTGTGTAGATCAACAAAATCTTCTTTGTCAAAACGAGAATAAAAATCATTTAGTTCGTTGGTGAATTTCTCGTCATCATCCACTAAAATTCGTTCTCGTTTTGAGGCGCAGCCTGTTATTTTCTTTAATCCTTCCCAGCATTGTTTTGAGTTGTTATTTGCAAAGAAATCCTCAATTTTTTCTTTGTATGTTTTTTTTTCCTTCAATTATTGCTTTTCTCAGTTTATTTTTAGCATTTATAAACTCTTCGTTGCTAGCCTTATACTTTGTTTTCTTTTGAGTAATAAGGTGTTTGATTTTTTTGGTTATTCAGGGCTTATTGTTTCCGTAGACTTGTATTGTTTTTGTTGGAATTGTTAACTCCTGGCAGAATGATAGATTTGGATGTTATTCCCAATGCCTTTTGTGAAAACAGTAGATACATTTGAATAAGTGCTACTTAGAAAATGAAACATCTCTTACTTAATTGAATTATTAAAACATTACTAATAATTTTATTAGGTTAATATTCAAACAAAGATTTATGACTACAATGAAAATAAAAAATTTTTGTTCATTGAAAAAAAAAGGACCACCTTGCATCATTCTTGTCAGGACATCATAGGGCATAGTTAATGAAACGCTCATCTCGATATTTTAGAAAAAAAAAAAGTTTTATAATTTTTATAAGCTTATTTATTTAGTTTGAAAAATCTGAAGTGCTTTTTGACAATGTCATTTTCATGTTGTTAATATACACATTTCTTGAAAATTAGCTCTAATTGCATTGGAAAATTTTACCTTTATTTCATAGTGCATTTGTGTATTCTTGCTGCAAAGGCATTCAGTATTCTTACATCCAGCCATGAGATGTATGAGTGCTGCTGAGCAAATGTTTGGGCCTGAATCCATTGGGTTCTCTTAGAATGAATTTACTGGTGTTCAGAGCAAAAATATACATTTTGTTTTGTGCAGGGGTAGGCAAACATTTTAGAGTAGAGCTACATTAAAAGCCAGAGTGCCACATTTACATATATATATATATATATACCGGTATATATAAACTAAGTGTTTAATAATTATGAAGTGTATATTTTTTCCAATTTTTATGTATATCATTTTCAGATTTTTTCCCACAAACTCCACCTTTTGCTTACTTGCTCTTCACTAACCCAGCTCTTTTATCAAATTTCTCATTAAATAAATTCTGACCTTTTTGACTCCTAAGTAAATTCCTTTATCTCTTAATCTCTGTACAAGGTCTATCATCAATAACTAAAAATATAAATTTCTCTCTAAGCACTTTCTAGCTTCTTACTCTACTTCTATCATTGAAGTACAGCTAATTACAAGCTTTTTAAAGTGTTTTGTAATCCCAGAATAGTTATACTTTGTGATCATTGGCCAACTATATATATGTTTCTTCTGAGTTGATAATGTACATCCTTGCCCAAACCTTCTGCAAGCTGATGAGAGATGGCAGCCCTGTCTTGATACTTCCTCCGTTGTTGTTCATTTCCTGAACTGGAAGATGACTAAAGTCCAATCCTTGCTTTAAAAATCCAGCCACAAACATGGCATGGGTAAATTGGGTCTACTGCAGATAGGCCTGCTTCTTTTTTGCTTATTGTTGGCTCTGCATTCTTTCATGCTGGCCACTCTCAGTGTCTCGTATCTTGAGACTCAGGGCTTTATGCCAAGAGGGCAGCCATCTTTGATAATTAATATTAGATAATAATTTGAAGAAAAAAAAAGGTATTTTTATTATTTGATTTATGTATTTACAATTAATGTACTTAAAAAAAAGAGTCAATAAAAGAAAGAAAAATATTGAACAGATCACATTTTTATCATTGATAATGTTGCACATAAACTTAAGTTTTTGTTTAGTGTGTTATGGATTAGATCGTAAGTAGAAAAACAAAATGTTAGAATCAAAATCCATGATCATCAACAAATTGAAAATGACATTCTGATATTTGAAATGATTGTGGATAAAAATATAATTTTCATTTTCATTAGTTTTTATGTTTTAATAATTCAACCTTACTGTCTTTTTATAATAGTCATATGTATAATTATAACTATAATAAAACACAGCCACTAAGAAAAACAGCACATTTAAATTTCTAATAATATTTATTGTTTGTTTTTTCATTGAGTGACAGCAACACAAAACTTGCTCTGTAAACACACAGAATAAATTACAATATTTGATAGAATTGTTATGTATAGAGAGAAAATTATTTCTCAATCAACTGACAAAGAAAATAAAGTTAACAGAAAAAAACTCTATCACATCAATGTAATATAACAACTGTTTGGCTAATTTTCTCTAATTACTTGAAGAGTTTATATATCCAACACTACATCTGAGCCCTATGGTAATACAATTGGATTGATTGTGAAAAATATGTTTATAATAACTAAACACTTGAATCTAAAATATGGCATCATTTAGAAGCACAACTAGATATGCTGGTATTTAAAGTAATACATTAGTTTCTGTAAAACATCACCATGAATTCAACAAAAAAAAAGTTAAAGCATACCGATATTACTTAAAAGTGTATACTTGGCACAGAAACAGACCAATAAGTCAATAAATCAAACTTGGAAAAAAGAGTATAACAGTATCACAATAGGTTTTCTTGACCACAGAAAAATGAATGCAACATGGTGGTGGGACGTACTGCACAGATTTCACACTGGTGATTGGTACATACAATATCAAGGATAGGAAATGGACAATAGCAGAAGGAATTTAAAATTACTGCATAAAAAATCAAGGGACCAACTTAAATTTATTACTTAAAATTTTAAAAGACTTCAAAATTATAAATATTAAATGCAGATAACAAAAATATAAACATAACTTTTTCAAACTAATATAAACTAAATAAAAAGTATTTGACCACATTGGGTAATAATTTTTTAAAAAAATTATATTAATTTTCATTGGAAATATTTTTAAACAAACTTCTAGTACACACATTCATTGAACTCTTTCAATGCTTGATAATTCCAAGGAAATTGATTCCCAATTGAATGTGTTATCAATATAAATTACAAATGCAACTCTTAAAGCTTTGAATCTTGCTATTAATCTCATGAGGCATAGTGGCTGCTCAATGATACAAGATTGTACCAGAAAGATGCATACTTTGTTTGGGTCTTTTATAGCAGGTATTTACAGAGTTAAAAATAATAAAAGTGTTATTTAAGAAAAAAAAAAGAGTAAAATAAAATGTAATAATAATAAAATGATATTCCTAAATCTATATAAAGGAATTTTTATTGTCAGCAAATTGTCTTACAAATGCAATAGAAAATGACTGTCCATACAAACTTGAGAAATCAGTACTCCACAAAACAAATTTGTTCAACCCTCATTTAAACATGATTAACATTTGGTCTTTTAGCATTTAGGTTATTTTTTTAAATAAATAAAATTGATTTTTACATTAAATTTCTTAATACAATTATATTAAATGGGTTTAATTATTTCAATTTGATCTTGAAACGCACACTCCTATAAATGTTTTATTTAAGTACTGTACAAAGTCGCTCTTTTTAAAAGCAACTTTAAGAAACACCAGCTTAGGATTTTTTTTTTTTTTACTGTGCATTATATTTAATAACCTTGGAGATTTGACCTTGCAGCCATTCTAAAATGGCTGTTTCCTTGCTGGCAATTTCTTTTTCTCCACTTGAAAATAGATTTACACCAGAATCATCCTGTGTCCAAAAAAATCATGTTTGTAAAAGTTAAGTTAACATGGATCTAAATATCAAAGTAGCTAGCAGATTCAGATACTTAATTAGTCAAAGGATTTGATATTACAAATTTGAGATAAAAACCAAGAATTTGAAATATGCTAAATATTGTTTTCGGCCCAAAAAGTAAAAGTGAAAACGTTGAAACTCACTTCTTTAATCTTGAAAATCAGCTTTTCATCTTTGATTGCTGGGACACCAAGAATTCTATCTAACGAAACTTTCCAATCCACATCCCAGCCACCCCAAAATCTGCATTTTTCAAGAAATAACAAGTTTCTGAGAAAAAAATAGAAATTCATATAAGTATTACATAAAATCAATAATTGATCATCTTTGCTAGGAACTTGTCAAGTGAAGGTAGTATTTTGTTTCTATTGTTGCATCATTCAATGTTCTGAATTTATAAAACAGTGAAGCTGTTTGACATCATACTGAAGTATTTCACAAAGATCAAGTGCTAATAGAATCTGTATAAGACAATTACCTATCAGTAATCAATACCACTGCAGATTTTTCTTCTCTACTCAAAGGGGCATGGGCCCAGTAGATGTCAGTTCTAGAAAGATCTCCCTTAAGGACACTCTGAAGCAATCTTTGTCCAGAAGCTTTATGGGGAGAAAATGGTTGAAGTCCCTGAGAAAAAAACAAATAGTATACAGAATAAATGCACGAAAATTTATACATCTATAAGCACATATAAGTTATAACAAAAAAGCACAGATGATAGCTGTCAGATCTATGTTTATTCTGAATTACATTTCAGTCAAAATATACCAGTACTAGGACAAAATCATGCTTGAAAAAAATAAAAAAATTTAATAAGGCTTTACTGTGAGTATGAAGATTATAGGAGTGCAGTATTTCATGTGCTAGGGTTATTTCACATGGTCCAATTTAATGGATGCTTGATTGGCCCATAAATTTCTTTTTATAATAACAACTATTACTATTATTTATATCATTACTCAATATTTATTATACAACATGCATAGAAAGCAACTCAAATGCAATAGGCACCAGTGGGTTGATTAAAATTATGTCAATTGTATGTTAGCCCTTTAAGTCCTACATCCTTAAAAGCCTGTGACCAGAGCCATGACTGATTGTTTTGCAAAATTTAAATTGCAGGATTCCTACCAGGCATTTGGAGCAATCAGTAACATCAGCCAAAGGCCGGCCCTGAATATTCCAGTGCATGCACTTGTGCTTGAGTAAAAGTCAGTTCTACGTACATGGAACTATAAGCATGTTCTAAATCAGTTTCTTTTGAGAATTGGAATTTTGTCTCTCAAATGTAAAGAAGTTATGTGTTTGGTATTGCTTTAATTAACTGGAAAGAAAACATGCATAACAAGGCAGCCTTCTGGACCAAAATGTGACTAGTGACAATACTGGAAGTTCAAACCATCCATCCATGAAGCATGGCTGTGCCAAACTAAGCAATTAGTTCCTTAATGGTTATGTAGCACAAGGAGGAAATTGACATTTTTCTACTTACAGTGCAGGAAAAATTTTAAAAAGTAAGTGCAGCTTGCAGGTACTGCTTAATCAAGAATTTTTTAGTGGCCAGCATACATTATGTTAATAGTTTTTAATATTATAAAATAGTTAAGAAAAAGGAAACTAATAAGTCTAATGACAGCAGATCAATTGCTTCATTAGATACGGTAATCATGTTTTCAATCAGCTGTCTATCAAAAGAACATATTGGTTCTTACTAGACTGAACTTGGGTAGACTTTTTTTGTTTTGAAAAATGTGGCTGAATGTCTTATACAGCTTGACTGGTGCTTGAGTTTGAATCCCTGATTTGAGCTGAGTTGTGTTTGCCAAGTGCCTAAAAGCAGCACAGAAGCATTCAAGATATCAACCCCCCCAGCTCCCATGTCCAAAGAAGAGAAATAAAAAAATAAAAAATTCTATTGTCATTTTAAAGAATTTGTAAATTTCTGTTTGAATTTTAAAAGTCATATGGAACAAATTTTTGTTTGCTTGCTTATGTGTAAGAGCATTAATAAAGTTATAATAATAATAAGGCTAGTCTTCGAGTCTGAAGATTAGTGAAGAATGCAGTATTTCCCAAAGGCTGCGCAGTCCCAGCTGTGACCTACATATTTTGCCACACCCAGGGTAAGCATAACCATTATCCGCAGGTGGTCGATTTAGATTTTCTTTTCGCCGTCTGCGTTTGTCCTTGGCAGCAGATTTTCTTTTGGTCTCAAATGTGTATCCCGCGCCTTCGCGAGTGACCTTCAGCTGTCTCGTTCTGAGGCTGCATGCAACCAGGTGCTCTCTTCTATGTCAGCCAAGGAAAGTTGACAACTAAGCTGGTCTTTGAAGTGTTTCCGTGGGGCGCCTCTGTTACGTTGACTAACTTTTAGCTCACCAAAAAAGACTGCCTTTGGCATACATTTGTCTCCCAATCGGGATACGTGCCCTACCCAGTTATTATGAGAGGAGTATATGTTATAGCAGGTTATCACCCTGCCAGTATTTTGAAAAACCATTGAAAAAAAGCAACATTATGTATTCAAAAAAGAAGAAATCAAATACTCACAATGTGTGGATTAATAAAACGAGGAAGTCTCATTCTAGCAACAGCACCTCCTTCCATTTCAGCAGTTCTATTCAAATCAAATTTCAAAAAAAAACTTAACTAAATACAAATGAACTTTGTGGTATTACTAAGTGCTTCAAATTAATAAAGAATGCATAGATAAATAAACTTAAAGACTAAAATAAAAAATACATAGAGTTGTCTTTCATGTCCAATAATAAAAATTTGAGATACCAGTACATCTTCTTAAATAAAAGAGCTGTATATCTTTATATATACTTATGTGGAAATGGAATGTAAATTTCACCTTCTCAGACCATCAAAAGCCATGCTGACCATATCCACTACACCACCTGTTGGTTTTGTTAGAAGTCCTAAAATACCTTTGCCAACACCTTTGAAAAATCCTTCAACGCCCTCTTCATGAGCACCTAGATGAACAAATTGTAATTGTAACTATTTAATTAAACTACCGATACTAATGTTAGCATTTTCTGTCTACCTAAATTTAAATACTTATTAGCATTGCCACTTTTTTAAAGTATAAAATGAAACATAATTATCATGGTTCAGTAAAAAAAAAATACAAGTCAAGCTCAATAGGCAGTATTTCAATGTACCTTTGATAGGATCAAGTATGACACCTGAGAGTCCCAAACCAACTCCTATGACTAGAGTTCTTGTTGCTAGAGCCAAACTAGCAGGAAGACCAGAAGGTTCTTGTTGCAATCGTAGCCTTCTCTTCTATAAACAAAGTTTAGGATAGAATAAATAGCATCAAAGTTACCAGTGAGCTATGAAAATGTTTTAATTGAAATATTTGATTATAACTTACTCTTTTGTAATCTTCATCAAATGAAATGGCAGCCAGTGTCCTCCCTATACTGCCAGCAATACCTGCAACTGAGCCTGCAGTACCTCCTGCAATAAACACTTATTATAGACTTATAGAATTACTACATTAAAAACAAGTAAGAATCCCAATTACTGTATTGTAAAGAGGTTTGCTAGTAGATTAGGTACAGGTAAGTTAAACCTACCTATGGTATTTCCCATTAGACTCTGTACTCCTCTTGCTAAGCTGTCAGTAAATTCATCTTTACCTTGTATAGAGCCCTAAAACAGAGAAAGAAATGAAGTGGAAGTGGAAGCTCAGCACTGAGACAAGAAATGTTCAAGATTTAAAAATTTACATATTAATACTGATTCCTAGTGGACAAATAGTTCTATTTCCTAATCATTTTTTTTTTTCTAATCAAAAATAAATATTTATGTATCTATATTCCCAATTTGTATATAGGCTACCCAATAAAGATTTTTAAAAAAATGTTTGAGCTCTATAAGAAAATAGAATGTTTGCTCTAGAAAAAAGGAAAATATTTTTTCCTTATGCTTAAATGTAAAGCAAATATTTACAACAATGGCATGACAGACATTTAGTGTCAATCATCTTGATTTCTGTTTTCATAATTACAATTAATAAGGACTTGATAATATATTTTAAAACCTTATTTCAAAATTACTAATACCAGTAGAAGAAAAATAATTGCATATTACCAGAAAAGGTTCATAAAAAAAGTCTCCCAGTCCTTGGGTGAAATCTTTGA